CGCCTAGTTAAGCGCACCTTGGATCCCAGCCCCGGGGCACCTTTCCACGGTTGGCCAAGCTCCTGCTCTCCCCGCAAAAGGTAGCCTCGCCACCGCCTCTCTCTATTCCCTTTGCCCACTGTCGGTTAAGAACAAAGCCCACGGTGGGGAAGCTGCTTGTTTGTGTGCCTGGGATTCTTTGGGGTATGTGTGTGTAATTGTCTCCAGCTGAAGGAGCGGAAGCAGGAGGAACGAAGCTCGAAGCTCGGAGAAGCCAGGGAAAAGATGCAACCCCCCCCCCAAACTTCCTGCATGGGTTAAAATAGAGCCTCGGGATGCCTTCATATGGAATCTCCCCCCTTCCTCTTGGCTTTGACCTAGGGAGATCCCAGGTGCTCCCGCCACCCAGCTGAAAAGGAGGAAAATCGCGGGGTTGGGGAGAATCAGTGAGCTGGAGAAGGCTGTGGGTGTCTCCACCATACACTCAGGCGCCAGCCCTGCTGCTGCTGCTATTGGGCGGGAGCACAGGGGCAGTGTCCAGCCAACCTGCTGGAAGCCTGGCAACTGACAATGGCAATCCATCTTGCTTTCCCACTCCGCTCCTCTTTCCCAACGCAAAGGTAGACGGATGGAGAGATAAGGCAGAAGAATGGAGGGCAGCCGATGCCTCGACCAACAAGAGGCACGTCCTCCGCACCCTTAGCAGGACCAGTCCCATCCCCCCCGCCCGTCCCCGCCAGCGTAGCCCCTGGTGCAATCGGGCTGCAATCGGCGGCCGTCCCTGCTGCAATCCGCGCCGCCCGCTGCATCAGCCGGAATCTAATTCAAGAGATCTTAATCTTATAACACGGGGTGACTGACGATAGTTTGAGCGGCACAAACTACTGTCAGTCATCCCGTGCTCATCAAAACAAGTCCGGGAAGAGTAGGTGTTGGGCAGGAAGGCTGGCGGCTCCCGGGCGGCGATCCCACACCATCTGCTCGTGGCTCTTCCTGCCCGGACGCCCAAAAGCCTTCCAGCTCGCCCGGGGCGAGTCAGCTGCAGTGCAGCCGGTGATGGGCAGGAAGGCTTCTGGCAGCTATCCCACCGCCATCCACCCGCTCACTCGCTATGCCACCCCGCCCATGCTCATCACTTACTCTCTTTGGGTGAGTTCGGAGAAGTGGCGGCCCCGGGAGTCAGGAGAGCCGGGACAGGCTGGGAAGCAGACGGAGCCGGAAGGAGTCCCGCGGAGGAGTCTCCGGCCGCTGTGCTTGCCTCATCCACTGGCCCCCAAAGTGCGTGAGGGATGCTTTGGTGGAAAGGCGCCGCTTCCAGACCCCGCCGAGGGCCACACACTCAGGTGGCTCTTTTCGGAGAGGCAGAGACTTTCCCATGGCTTGTCCGGGTGGAAGTGGGGCTGAAAAGGCGAGCTCACTCCACCGCCCATCCACCTGCTCACTCGCTATGCTACCCCACCCATGCGAGCGGCAGTGGATGGGCGGGGGATCGAGCGATTGAAGAATTAATTAATTCTTAACTCCTAATTAACTCCTAATTAATAAATGGAGAAGATCTGACAGTGCCAAAATTAAAAAGCAGGATCTTTTGAGAACGGCCCGGGACGCGGGAAAATTTATGAAAAGGCGTGCCTGTCCTGCCAAATGCGGGACGTCTGGTCACCCTAAGTATATCAATATTCCATTTGCTGCAAGTTTGAATACATTTATTTTTTCTATTGTTGTGTTATAGTTCTTTGGGCATTTTAATGGTTACATTCAATATATAATTATAGTCAAGCTGAACATATACATCATTGACCCATGGCAAACTAATGTTCTATCAATTCAAAATCTGATAATAAAGTAAGATGGTTATCTTATAGTACTTATAATATACAACTGTTTCCTTTAAATTAATTAGGAAAAATGTATGAAAAGAATATTGCTTTTGGAGCTATGTTTCACTGAGAGCAGTGTATTTTCATATGTCATGGAATTGATAGAAATATCAATTTTGGGGGAAGTATAAAACTTGCTACGTAACTTTAACACCATAAAGATCATGTTGAAGTTATAATACAAAGGAAAAAAAGGCAAGAATTGGAATAATAACGTACTAGTCCAGCTAGCACAAAAATGGTTCTAAATCATTGAGAATAAAATACCATCATCAATAACAATGAGATTAAACAGGTTTTGCAAAATATTGTGTTGATCCAAATAGCAGTGGGATTATACACGATAAAATAAAATCCATATACTTTAGAATCAGAGTAAAGTGCCAAACAACAGAACAGTGGTGATACCTTCTAATGATATAGCCTCGAAAAATTTGGCTGTAAAACATTATCCCCAAATCCCATTTCAGGTGGTTGTTCAGAAAAAATGGTGCTAAATATTATTACTAGGAAGCCAAGATCATCACTAAAATTATACTTCATTTGAAATCATAAAATAAAAATGAGAACAAAGATAGGGTGAAGCCACTGTAGGAATGGCACCATTTCATGCAGAAATATCCCATGTCATGTCTAATGTGAAAATCCATGTATCCTGCAAAATTATCATAGAAAGCCATTCAGAAAATGATTAATTTTCTTCTAGGACCAGAATGTGATAAATCTTTTATTTCTCAACTCAGCTGCACTGGAAGACATTGCACAAATGCAGTAGAAGTAGAAATTGACTCCTCCGCTAAATAGGGCTCAGTTGCTAATAAACTTTCGCTTATCAAATTGCTTCCAACCACAACCACAATCTTCCTTGATTCATTGTTCACAGCTTCCAGGGAAAAATTTCTTATGTATAAACTCATTATGTATATAATTTTATGAATTAATACCCTATACATAAGATTAATAAATGCTTTCAAACAATGTAAAATGACAAATTAGTGGATGATTTCTCTCTCACACACACACACACACATATACACACATACAAAAATATCTCCCTTCCTCCTTCTTTCTCCCCACCCCTCAGCAGCAATGCTCATTTAAACATCTATAGGGAGCCTGCAAGTAATATAAATCTGAATATTGTTGTATAGCTACACACCTCTGGATTATCCAGATTTATCAAAGAGGCCCAGAATTAGGATATTCATTAAATAGCAATCCATATTACCTCCTTACTTCAAAGTGTGGTAAAGACCCTAGACATCTGTCTCAAAGTACTGCCCCAAAGACACTTCTGTCCTACTACAACTGAATACTAGTGTCCAAAAGAGCACTACAATAGACTGATCCACTCATTTATTTAAATTTATATAGTTGCCCATTTCACTTACAAGACTCACAAAAACTACGGAAGTAAGATGCTACTTTGCATAGGTCTTTGCAGTTCTTATGGACTTACCATCCTGATCTCAGAAGACAATTTATGTCATAGTACTAGGCAAGAGAAAAAGAAGAAAGAGGTTCATTCATTCAATCACATTTAAAGTTAGTGGAACTATTGAGAGATTATTAATAGAGAAATGTAAATGTGACTTTTAATAAACCAAGTGGTGTACTCTGAGAGAATGCTTCCCTACTACATAAATTCACAGTATCAATCCAGCCAATGCTGACAGAATACTGATATAAGTTTCTCAAGAGTCTACACATGACCTAGACGGGTCCTCCCTATTTTTAAAGAAGACCAATTCGGTGTGCGGTGACACCTCAATCCATGGTAACAACCAAACAACTTCCCTTTGTATAAATCAAGCTTCCTGATGAGCTCCAAAAGTTGACCCACTCTCTCTTATAACCTGGAATATAGCAGGTTGGTCCATCCCATCAAAAGACCAACTCTTTTTTGACTATATATCACAATTTGACATCCTCTTCCTGCAGGAAACCTGGGCCTCAGCAGAGATTCAGTTAAATGGCTATTGGGTTAACTCAATTCTGGCTGTCCCAAGCAAGGTGGGGGGGAGAGATAAAGGGGGTATTGTACATTAGTTAATATATCCTTGCATTTTAAATGTGTACCACTGCCACCTTTCCAGTCATGGGTTGTAACTACATTACTCTTATTAAACAGGTGGAGATATTGCTTTTCAATATCTATATTCCTCCACTTAATAAGAATAATGTGATTAACAAGATTTGGGACAGCATAGAAGATTTTATTCTTGGCTGTTCAGCCAAACTCCCCAAAGCTAATAATTATAGGGGGGACTTAAATGCTAGGATGGGTCCAAATGATCAAGTATTATATAAGCAGTTTAAGATTCACTATGATGAAAATGTAACAGATGAATCTTTGCATGCCAGACAATTTAAAGACCCTAAAGCTAATCGGGCAGGCTTATGTGTAAGACAAATGACTGAACGTTTGGATCTTTGTATCCTTAACAGGATTTCCCAGCAGAATATACTTACCGGGAAGCAGGAAGAAAATCCACAGTTGACTACTGGATAATATCATATGACCTCCTGAAGTTCTTACAGAAGATGGAGGTAGACTCGCAATTGGAAAGTGATCATAATACAATACTCCTTACTCTCACATTGCACCAGAATTCTCTTAAGGGCAGGCACAGCCTAACTACCCAGGTTAGAGACTCAAAATACCCAGGTAAAAATTAAATGGAACAAGAAAAACGCTAAGGAAGTTACCAAATGGATGTTAGCCCCTGAAACCATAGAGTTACGTACATCTCTACTAAGAAATAACTGTGGGGAATCTTACCTAGAGGGGTTTGAATCCTTAATTTTAAATTTGAATTCGGTTCTCAGTAACAGATCACCAGCTCACCCCAAAATGCTAGTTTCAAAAAACAAAAAATGGTTTGATAGAGATTGTGTTCAACTAAAAAAGATATATAATGAGGAATACAAGAAAAGTAAAAATGCCCCCTCCGAGGAGCACACTTACTACTTAAAGCAGCTGAAAGCACAATATAAGAACCTTCTAAAAGAAAAGAAAACTGCGGCCAAGAAGGAGTCTTGGCATAGACTAATTACGGCAGTCAGGACAAAAAATACATCCCTTTTTTGGTACATCACCAGGGGACTGGGAAAATCTCTCCTACCCCCAACAAATCAGGTTCCAATTCATGCCTGGGAAGAGTACTTTAGGGAGCTTTATACAGATCCTGACTATGTAACCAAGGAGAGCCAAGCTAGTTTGGACCACACTTCTTACTGGCCCCCTATTACACCAGAAGAGATATCCCAGTTGATTGGAGCCCTAAAGGCTAATAAGGCACCCGGAGCCGATAATGTCCTGCCAGAAATAATTAAAAAGAACGCCAGTTGGTGGGCTCCACTTTTAGCATCACTGTTTACATTTATAGACAAAACAGGCCATATGTCTAGAGATTGGGGAGTAGCAATTATCATACCAATTTATAAAAAAGGGAATAGAAATGACCCAGGCAACTACAGACGCATTAGTCTTCTAAGTGTTATTAGTAAACTGCATGACAAACACCTAAATTATAAACTTCAAGATTGGCTAATTTCAGGGGGGATAATCAAAGACGAACAAGCCGGCTTTAGAGAAGGAAGATCGACAGTGGATCATATCTTGGTACTCCACCATTTAGTACAAAAATACACACATTAAAAAAATCCTCTCTTTTGTGGCCTTCCTGGATTTTAAACAGGCCTTCGATTCAATATCCGGGATCACCCTCTGGGAGAAGTTAAAATGCACCACTATCGATAAATGCCTCCTCTTCCTCATACAAAAATTGTATGCCAATTCCACCCTGAAAGTGAGGTGCAATCCCCAAGGGAGTTTAACCGGCTCAGTAAGGGTACAAAAAGGAGTACGGCAGGGTTGCATCCTGTCCCCCTCCCTCTTCAACTTCTATATTAATCCCCTGATTGATCTTCTACAGAACCCTGATTTCCATCCTCCTAACCTAGCACAACGCAAAGTGCCAATTCTCTTATATGCTGATGACGCCGCTATCATTTCACAAACCCCCATAGGACTGAAGAGAGCAATTAGGGCAACACTCGGCTATTGCAGGCAAAACAAGCTGGTCCTTAACTTTGATAAATCAAAAATTTTAGTTTTTGCTGAAAGACCAAGCCAATACTCATGGAAATTGGAAGAATATAGTCTGGAACAGGTTAGAACATTTAGATACCTTGGTGTGGTTTTCCACTCGCTAGGGACATGGAAGGCACACCTGGATCACACATTGCAAGTAGCCATTAGGTCCTCAAATGCAATCAAGCATTTCTTTTATACAGGTCAGTTAGTACCTGCTGCCTTAAAACTTTTTGAGGCCAAAACATTGGCACAAATTCTTTACAGGGCACAAATAGGAATCCTTGCAAAGAGAGACTTGTTAGAAACCATTCAAACAAAATTCCTGTGAGCCATCTTAATTGCTCCCAATGGAACTCCAAATGCCCAGTTAAGAATTGAGACAGGCATGCCTCAAATTCAAGTAAGAGCCTGGAAGATGATGATCATTTATTGGCTTAAAATGCATTTCTTTCCAGAGGGACTGCCCCATTAGTGTTGACTGACAATTTCCCTTCCCCCTAGAAACAAGCAGTTGATCACAATCTGGGCTCTTATGGGCTCTCAGCATTATTCTTAATGTCCCTAGGCTTTGAGCAAGCAAAGCAAGTAGTAATCAATAGAATGAGGGACATGGAATTTCAAGAAGAACGAAACAGGTTGCCTCTCACATTAGGGACAGAATCAAACAGGGTGTATGGGAATCGGCAAGATATCTAAATGACCTGATCTTCCCAAAACAAAGAATAGCTTTCTTCAGAGCCAGATTTAACATTCTTCCTTCAGCACTCCACCAGGACAGGTATAAGAGAACACCTATAGCTGAACGCATTTGTATATATGGTAAAGGAGAAGTGGAAGATAATTCACATGTACTATTACACTGCGAGCTATACAGAGTTTGTAGGTCTGCATATATTCTCCCCTTATTAGAGAGATGGCCAGGGAGGGCAGACAATTTTTATCTAGGCTTCCTCCTCCAAGACACTAACCCGGTTACCACATATGCAGTGGCAAAGTTCTGTGCTGCTGCAATGTCCATAAGAAAAAAATTGGCTACAGAAGTATGGTACCATCTTATACCAATTATCTGCACATACCTTTAACAATCTTTGGACCATTATGTTATTATCCACTTTTAATGTCAATACTTTTTAATTATATTTTAATGTTAGTATTTTTTAATATAGTGTAAAAACAAATATATATTGCTGGTCTTTGACCGTAATAAAGATCTTACTTACTTATTTACTACTAATATAAAAGAAATCATTTTGCATATGCCAAACTTACTTTACCAATGCAAAATCCAAAATTGTGGTAACACTTTACCCATCCCCCTGGGTTGAAAAAAAATATTTGGATGCAATTCAAAAAGAAGAGAAAGTTCCAGTAGTTACGACATAGTATTATTTTCTATGGAAGTATTTCCTACATGATTCTCTCACCTGGAGTTGATAGAAGAACTTTAGCCTTGCAAGTTTTCAGAGCATGTATTAGAGATTTGAGTCGTATGTTATAATTGATACATGCCATGGTACAGCCAATCTTTGATAAGCCGATAAAAACTGAGAGATAGGAAGGGCTGGTCTTGAAGAAAACAGCAATGGTGTCCTCTTCTTTCAGCCCGACATAGTCCTTCAATACTCTGGCTATCTGATTGCTGTATCTATCAATGTCTTGGTAGGAATAAACCTCATCTTCAAAGAGAATCAAGGGTTTGTTTGAATACTTCTTAACTTTGGCCAAAAATATTTCTAGGAGAGTGATAGGGGGAGTGCTCTGCATGTATCTGTGGCATCGATATCCCACTACTAGGTAGGCAATAATGTTTTTCAGATCCAACCAAAAATAAGGAAAGAAAAATCTGCCCACCATGGGCAGAAGAATCAAAAGCCCAAGCACGGCTGTATATAGATCCAGCATGATAGGTATTTAGCCTTGGTATCTTGGAAGAAGTAGATCAGAATCCAATTTATTGCAGGCTCTATCCAAGCTCTGTTTTGCGGGAGGCAAAGAAAAGAGAAATCATGAATAATCAAAAAGATGTAATTCTCACACTCCACCCAGTTTCTCAAGGCTTAAACAAAGACACCTTAGTTTCCCAACCAATAAAATTTGAATGACGTGCTATAGCTCTGTAATCTCAGCATGCTGTTTGTTCCTTACCTTCCTATTCTGTTGCTAAACTTCCTCAAGGTGCTTGATTTTCAGCAAGAGGCTGTATTTATACACATTGCTGCCTACCTTTTGTCCTTGCCCACAATTTATATCTCAAAGTCCGGAGGAAAAAAATGTTGTTGACACAGTTGATGCTGAATGAATATTAACAATCTGAAAGGTCACTGGTCCTTGCAGAGCAAACATTTAAGACACAATTTAATTAAGAAAGTAGAGATAGTTACATTCTACAATACAAATAAAGGAAAGGTGTGTGCATGAATGAGGCTTCCTCAACTAATTTGGCAAAGGATCTTGCAAGCATCAGCTTCTCTTTTAAGCTGCTATTTATAGTGTGCCACTTTATACTACAGCAGTTCTCTGCAATTTAGTGGTCACTAGCTATATGGGCTGCAACATTCATAATTCCCAATATCATTGATAGGAATTCTGAGAATTGACCTAACACATTTGGAGGCTATTGTGGAAGACTGTTTAATGGTAAAGTAAGGCTCCTGAGAAATAGAAGTGGGGAACCTATACTTCTCCAAATATTGTTGGATTCTACCACCTATTAGTCGCTGCCAGCATGCTCAGTGGTTAGGTATCATTTCAGTCCTAAATCATATATTAACCAAGAGCCAGTTTCGTATAGTGGTTAAAGCATCCAGGCAGAACCTGGGAAATTGTTATATTCTAGTCCTGCCTTAGGCACAAAGCCAACTGAATGACTTTGGAACAGTTATTCTCCACCCTAAGAAGCAGGTAACAGCAAACCACCTCAACTTTGCCATGAAAACTGCACAGACTTGTCCGAGCATTCTCTGACAATTGGACATGATTGAACAGGATAAAATATATATTGCATTATATTCACAACTAAAATATTTATCTGTATTATACTTAAAACCAAAGGATTCAAATTTCTGTTTACACTATTGAATTTTAACAAATATTTTAAGTTGTTTTGTTGAAAAAAACAATAGTTTCAAAAAAATCACAAATCAACTGTGTAAAAAGGCTGTTTACTTTTAAGAGGAGGAGGGAGCGAGATTCCAAAGTTTTGTCCTGGAGGACAAAATGTTCAGGTGGAGTTGATCATATAACTTAGATGAGGTGCACGTTTTCAGATTCTAATCTGTTATGTATTGTATGTATATAGTTGGGTAAGCCCTGCTACAGTGAAACTAACCTTTAAGATGACCCTCACTGTCGGCTCCAACTGTTTTGAAGGGTGGGGTGTAGGACTGTTCTCGTACGCTTCGCCACCCCTTTTTTGCCCCCAGGGTTCTGCCCCCAGCCATTCACCTCTCCCATTTCTCCTCCACTGAAAGGACCCTAGCTGTTTGTACCGGCCATTGGGACCCAGCCTCTTTAGTCCCAGACCCTTTGTCAGCTAGGTCCTTTCAACGGAGGAGAAATGGTAGAGGTGAATGGCTGTGGGGGGGGATCCTGGGGGCAAAAAAGGGGGTGGTGCAGGGTATGAGGAGAACAGTCCCATTCCATTTGGAGAGAAACTTTGAACATTCATATTTGGGTGGGGTTTTCAAGCATTATGATTGGTTAAGACCCTGTGGACCCAGAGTATTACAGGCATTTAATTTACAGGCATTTGCCTGCTCTTCCTCAGTTCAGGTTTTGAATCAATAAATGCTGTTATAGCTATGCTGGTCTGGTTCTCGCTTACTGAAGCCCACCACAATACAATTTGCACAGATTCCAACCAATACTAAGGAAGAATAATGGAAATTGTGACTCAAAAACACCTGAAATACTTGTAAAAACTACCAAAGTTTATTGATTTCTATAAAGCACCAATTAGTTGCTGAGACCTCAGAGGAAACTGCATGTTAGCAATGTCCATTTAAAATATTTTACTATAAGTTTTGTTTCCTGTTTGCTTAGTTTTCTCAGCTCTATTTGTAAGTGCCAGAGAATGAATATTGCATTTTTACATGCAAAGCAGTGGTGGGATTCAGCCAGTTCGCACCTGTTGGGAGAACTGGTTGGTAAGTAGTTCAGAGAACCCGGTTGTTGGAAGAAATCTCCTTTTGTTTTTTCCACTTTACAGGGCTAATCCTGTAAGGGAGGCAGGAAGGAAACATTCTGGTGTTGTTTCTAGCCTAATCTAGCCTAAACCCAATGTAATAAGGGTTAACTGGAGAGGCAGAAACTTATTACATTGTAACAGCTAAGGCGAAGCGCCCATCGACCTGAGTGACCTTGAGTTGGCTATGCCCACCCAGTCACATGACCACCAAGCCCTACCTACCAAGATGGTCATTAAGGCAGAGAACCGGTTGTTAAATTATTTGAATCCCACCACTGATGCAAAGGAAGTGATATCAATCCCACAATTTTGATATGCTGTCTAATTTGAGGGACTATCTGTACTCCTAGCTGACTAGCTGATAAGAATGATCAGTCAGTGTCCTTTATATACTTTCAATTAAAGAATGTCGTCTTTTGAGATCCACAGACTGAGTCTTCCAGAACCTACCATATAAAATAAAATGCCCTGTGAGATTCAGGTGGCTCCAACCCTAATAGCATGAGAATGTAGGAGCTCTGTGTACATAATTAGTAGGACGTCAGCCCAACAAATCATGAGACTTTCAAAATAGCTCAATTACAGCAATTGGAAATGCTACAGCAAGCAGGTACCAGTAAGCAGGTACATCTCAAAATACTATGAAGCAACATAAACCTTTCCCTTATCTATTATTGGTGTGGGCCTCGAGGTGTGGCCTAATGGAGCCTGTCCATTAGGGTCATAATTCAAAACTTTGTAAAAAAAAAAAAAGTACAAAGTAACTTTTGTAACTGTTTTGTAAAGGGGGAACATATTTATCAGTATTTAACTAGGGGAAACAATCTATGCATATATATTTTAATGCATTCTTATATATGTTTTCTTTTTTCTCCATTTTAACTTGGAGAATAAAATTGAAAAAAACTCACAATTTTAACCTCTATTATAAGTATTTATTTATTTATTTATTTATTTATTTATTTATTTATTTATTTATTTAACTTGTATGCCACCCAGTCTCGGAAGACTCAGGGCGGCTTACAAATAAAAAGGGAAGTGGGGGATATAAAAATAAAAAACAACAATTAAAAATTCAACAACATTCATAACTTAGGATGGGGCTGGATGATTCAACAGCCCCAGGCCTACCGGAACAGCCAGGTCTTGGTCACTTTGCGGAAGGCCTGGAATGGTAGTAAAGGTCCGGATCTCAACAGGGAGATTGTTCCATAGGGCCGGAGCATCTACAGAGAAGGCCTCCCGCGGGGGGTCACCAGCTGACATTGACCAGCAGATGGAATCCGGAGGAGGCCTAGTCTGTGCGATCTAATAGGTCTCTGGGAGGTAACTGGCAGGAGGCGGTCTCTCAGGTAGCCAGGTCCAATACCATGTAGGGCTTTAAAAGTAACGACTAGCACCTTGAAGCGTGTCCGGAGACCAATGGGAAGCCAGTGCAGCTCGCGGAGGATAGGTGTAACATGAGTTACCTAGGCACACCCACAATCGCTCACGTGGCCGCATTCTGGACTAGTTGAAGTCTTCGAACACTCTTCAGGGGTAGCCCCATGTAGAGCACATTACAGTAATCCAGTCTTGAGGTGATGAGGGCATGAGTGACTATCCGAAGGGCCTCCCGGTCCAGATAGGGTCACAATTGGTGCACCAGATGAACCTGGGCAAAGGTCCCCCTGGTCACAGCCGACAGGTGATGTTCTAGTGTCAACTGCATATCCAGGAGGACTCACAAATTGTGAGCCCTCTCTGAGGGGCATATAATTCCACCCCCCAGGCCAAGAGATGGAATAGCTGAACCATCCTTGGGAGGGAGCATCAATAGCCACTCAGTCCACTCCGCCTGATCTCCTTCGGCGCCATCCGGGCCAACCACCCCCTCACTAGGCCAGTGATGTCAGTAGAGTCCAGGGGTTCTCCCACGTTCTCCCAAACCGCAGGCTCTCTCAGGCCTCCCAAGTCCCCAAGGTCCCAAAGTAAAGGCAGAAAAAAGGGGGGCGCCACCTGAGGGCCATTTGCCCCCCACCTGACACCATCCAGCTGTCCAAAACCATCAGGCCATGCCGTGCCCCTCCCGGTGAAACGCCACCCTTTCAGGCAGAACAAACGCCGTTCCGTAGACAGAAGCCGACCCGAACTTCAGATAAAAACGCTGCCAGCTAAGGCCGCCGTCCATGGAGGGAGGGGGGCACCACCCAAAAAGCCGTCTGACACCGTCGGAGTCCAGAGCCTGTCCAAGCCGCCTGGGAGTGCCGCCCTTCAGACAGAACAACGTCGCTCTGCAATAGAAAGCCAACCCAACTTCAATCGAAAACTGAGGCCACCATCCATGGAGGGAGGGGGGCGCCATCCAAAGAGCTGTCTGACACCGCCGTAGTCTGTAGTCCGTCCAAAGCCGCTTGGGAAGCATTTCTCCCAGCAACCAATCCATGTCATGGGTTTTTCTCACCCGACTCCACTCTCTTCGCAGGTCAGGGACTTGGCAGAAGCACAATCCAAGCAATTTTTTTCTCTCTTCCAGCCTGAGCGGCGAGCTCCGGCAGCCATCTTCCCCCGCACAGGTGCAATCAAGCGATAGATAGATAAGTACATATTTAGGGTGCATTCATGCCTTTGAACAGTCATTAAATAGCCATTTATATCCTAAGGGATACCTATACATTTAATGATTTAGCCTGAAATACATAGCTTTCTCAAGATAGTATCAGCCAAGTAGTAGTAGTTTGTATTGCCAGCTGTCAAATAAGGCTAAACCATGGTCTTCAGCAACCACAGTTTATAAAGAGGGACAGATTCCATTGCTAGTCTACAATTACTAATATAATGGAGAAGGGAGATACATTGAGTTTTCTAGCTTTAAAAGTTCATCAAAACAAATGGTATTATAAGATACCTCCTCCCTTATATTAAACAGAGTATACTGTAAGTGCAGATATTGGAGAGCTCAATCTGTCAAGATTTTGTCTTATGAGTGTAAAACAATAAAAAATTTGGTTTAGAACAGGGGTGAAATTCAGCAGATTCTGACAGGTTCTGGAGAACCGGTAGCAGAAATTTTGAGTAGTTCACAGAACCGGCAAATACTACCTCTGGATGGCCCCAGAGTGGGGAGAGAATGAGGATTTTGCAGCATCCTTCCCCTGCCACACCCACCAAGCCATGCCCACAAAACCAGTAGTAAAAAAATTCTGAATTTCATCACTGGTTTAGAAGTATTATTATCTATTATTCTTGGTTTTAGTCCTCACAGGTCCACACATCTCAGGACTACAGGATTGAGAATCTGTAAATGTTAATAACCCCCCCCCCCGAAAAACTGAATGGCCACAGGTAGTATTGTAGAATCAAGTATGGTTTCCAGCTCTTGTCCTCTGTTTGGTCACATTGAACTTGGTCTTTTGAATTGGATTCTATGAATGAATGCACAAACCTTACTAAATGCAGGAATTTTATTTATTCTATTATCCTCTTGTTAAGGCTTTCTCTGTCATGGATAAGCTAAAAGAATATACTACATTTCCTCCCTATATAATGAACTACAGATTCAAGAGATAAAATTTAAAAAAAATTCTGAGACTGGAAGCTGTTTACTGACTTTAAATGATAACAGATTTTTTTAACTGACATGAAATGATTCCTTGCAATAATTTTAGAAATAGACCATGAGAAATAATCACATCAATTCTGATTTTTAAAAACAAACCTCAGCCTCCCCACTTTCCCTTTAGCTCTATTAGACTTTTAATTTTTGCACAGATAAAACAATAACTCGATGGTGTGTGTCACGAGAAGAAAATGGAGCAGAAGATCTGGGTATTTGTACTGAAGTGTATGAAACTTCTTGTAAGATGAATTCCAGTTACCCTTCACAGGAAAAGTATACAGGCTTTGCTATGCAAAGTCAAGCACTTAAGTGGAACACAATGCTTGCCACACTGCTGCAACACAGGATGCCCATTTCATACATATTGTAATGCATACACATATTTATCTCCCTCTGCTGCAGAGCAAACATCTCATGGGGACACAGAAAGGCTCTTTATTAGGAAAAAGAAAAAGAATAAGAATAAAATTAACTTTTCTAAATGTTCTCAAGTTTGGTATGCAAGATACCTGTTCCAGGTATCTTTAATTTGCCAGATGCCTGGAAAATTAAAACAAATCATCCAAGATAATTACTCTACTCTTAGGCTACAGTCAAGAAACACCAAGCTATATTCCTGGGTTGCTATTCCACAAAAGAATGATGATGTGTTTGAAGTCCTTTTCAGAGTTTCCGCTTCTTCTCTGTGATAGAATGGTAGATCTCCAGAGTCAGTGGCACAAAGTTCTTTTCTGAATTGTCCAAGAAAAATAGGGGCTCTGTGATGACGGTAGGGTCAAATTCTTCCTTTACCATCCGGGTTTTGCACTGCTTGAAAGTCCCTGTGATATCTAAGGCTTCCTGTAGTGAAAAGGAGCAAATCAATCAATAATTCCATTGCTCTCCTAAAGCACACTAAAGATGGCAGAATTAAAAGCATAGGAAGAAGACACCATTATTGTAAAAGACATGCTGCACTTTTTCCAGAGTTATATGGGGGTGAATGATGGAATGGATGAAGAGAATTTCATTTGCACCAGATTGGTGAATAAGATGGAATACGTTCATTTTACTAGTGCAGGCAGCAAGCATATCATCGTCATTAAAAAATAACAACCTTTTAAGTACAACATAAACTTTGATATTATTGTTCAGTTGGGGTCTAAAAGCTGATTTAGATTAGAAAATGATAGAATTTAATTATCTTTCCAACAAAACTGCTAATTTGATAGTAGCTATGCCACCTTACCGGTATATATACTTTGCCTCATTCAGGCACAATTTGCTGCAATAGAGTGAATTCCATCCAGTGGTGGGTTCCAGATCCCGTTGCAACCAGTATGCTGCAATGGGGCCCGGTATCCAACATGTGCACATGTGTAGTGCGCGTATGCATACTTACCGCCTGTGATGGTAAGTGGAGCATCGCACAGGCACCATACGCTCTGTGCACATGCGCGAAAGCTCTCATCGGCTAAAATACAGGTAAGGAGGTTGGGCCCTCCAGAGCCGCATATAGGAATGGTGCCTGCTGCTCCCAGCAGGCACCAGTATGCCCGTACCCCACCACTGATTCCATCACTCAACTTGATAATTAATTAAACAAATATCAGCTTTATAAGGAGGCAGAGGAAGAGGCTGCCTTAGGCAGAAGAAGCTGGAAAATGCCAAGAGGCTGCTGGAGGAAACAGTAATGTGCCACATTGTTCTTGACAAATATAAGATGTGTGGACTTCAATTCCCAGAATTCCCCATTCAGCAATTCACAATTTTGGAAGTTGAAGTTCCCACATCTAGATGTCAAGTTTGAGAAACATGTATTAAACATGTATTGGAAAAGGATTAAAAAATTGAATAGAGGCAATAACAGGAGTCAAAATAGATTGGAAACCAGAAGTTTTTCTACTAGGAATAATGACTGCAAAATATAAAAAAGAAATCCAGTATTTCATTTTACATATAATTACGGCGATGAGAATTGCCTTCGCTCAGAAATGGAAAAATAAATTAATACCAAGCGAAGACGAAATAATAAGAAAGGTTATGGACTGTGCCGAAATTGACAAATTAACAAAAGAAATCCAGGGAAAAGAAGAAACAGAACATTACCAGATATGGGATAAATGGTATAGGTGGATGGAGCATTGAAAAAAGAAACAGAAGGCTTTATTTTGGCAGCTCAAGAACAAGCCTTAGCCACAAACTACATGAAGGCAAAAATTCAACATGTTACCACCAATAGCTTCTGTAATGAGAAAGACGAGACAGTTAACCACTTGATCAGTGGGTGCAGCAAAATTTCACAAACTGACTACCTACAACACTATGACCATGTTGCTAAGATCATTCACTGGAAATTGCACCAAAAGTTTGGATTTGAGTACAGCAAAAACCCCATCAAGTTGAGAAGGTTTTAGAGAATGAGAAAGTCAAGATCTTGTGGGACTTCAGAATCCAGACTGACAGGCACTTGGCCACAACACACCTGACATAACAATAGTTGAAAAGAAAAAAGTATGGTTCATTGACATTGCAATACCTGGAGATGCACGAATTGAAGATAAACAGCAAGAAAAAATCAATAAGTACTGGGACTTGCAAATTGAAGTTGAGTGACTGTGGAAAAAGAAATCGTGTGTTGTCCCAATTGTAACTGGAGCCCTTGGAGCAATATCTAAAGGGCTACCTTGCTACTTGGAAATTTTAAATTTATCACACTTGAACATTCTGATTCCACAAAAAAACACCCTACTTGGAACAGCTTATATCGTCCGGCGTTACCTTAACAGTTCCTAGGTCCTTGGTTAGGGCTCGAGCTGTTGAGCTACCAACCAGCCCCAAAGGCTGTGAATCTCACCAAAGATTAACCAAATAATAACAATAATAATAAACAAAAGATAACGCAGATCCAACCAAGGCGGTAGCAGGATCAAAACCTCACTCACGAATTCTAGCTTTCTGTTTTTTGATTGTTATAAATCCCATCAAAGTTTATTTACATTATATCAACTTATCAGTAAAACAACAAGGGAACAGGGAAGAGTCTCACCTGGATGCGAATAAAGTGAGGTATAGCATAGTTCGGCAGGTAATTATTGGTGTGTTCATATAACTGCTTTCCATCAAAGGATTCTCCTTCCTTTAATCGTATTGCTGCCATCCCAATCTTTCCTTCATGCCCTAGAAAATATCAGAATGGTCAAATACCTCTTCAGAAAGTCTGTTGGCTTACCTGAATGGCTATTCTCTGTGTGCTGTGGGAGAATCCAAGCATGGGTTAAATTTAGCCTATTAGCCTTGAGACTGAGTTGAAAAAAGTCTTGGCCATGCCTCTCTTGTCCTCTGGAAGTCAGTTTTTTAATGGGATGCAGCTGTAAGAAAATGTTCAATATGAGGGTAAGTATGTGTTGAAGATAGATCTGCCAAACACCCTGGAGCATCCGGACACAGGGCGGAATTGGATTCTCCCACAGCGCACAGAGAACAGCCATTCAGGTAAGTCAATGGACTTTCTCCTATGCACTGCTTGGAGAATCCAAAATGGGATATACCCCAGCTAAGAATCACATGGGCGGGAAGAGTCCTGGTCCAGAATTCCGGAGACTGAGTGAACCCTTTTCAATACACATCACCCAAAGGATGCCTTTGGAGGAAGACTTTGTCCAGCAGGCTGCCCATAACCATAGAAAACACCCCTAGAGCAGCCGCTGCTGGAAGAATTGGAAGTGAGTTGGAAGCCGGACAAGAAGTTTTGCTCAGAGTTTGGTGGCGGCTGCAAGGACACCTGGCCCAGGGCATGGTGAGGCTGGGAGGCATGAGAGCTGGGGGTGGAGCAGGCGCTTGTGCAACCTCCCTGTCCAGCCTGGCAGATCTCCATGCATTGACCTAGGGGTTATCCCAAATGTGCCAAGCTGCGGAAGCTGGGGCTTGGGCAGAGTATCATATGGCTTGGCGCCTTAGGGATACTCCCTAGGTCAGTGAATGATGCTCTGCCCAGCTGGAGAGGAGGTTTGCTGGTTGGCTACTCGTGAGCATGGTCATCTCATGGCTGCTTCGCCCCTGAGGCTGTGCCTGGCTCTTCAGGAGGCCGCTTGCAAGGGAGCAGCCACCTGGCAACTCCCCCCTCCAGCCAGGCAGAACACCACTCCCCAACCTAGCGGTATTCTGAAGGTGCCAAGCAAAATGAGTGCCTTTCTTCTGCCCCCTGGCTCTCACGTCTTGGTGCCTTTGGGATACCGCTAGGTCAGTGAGCGGCACTCTGCCTCACCAGAGGGGGGTTGTCCAGGGGGCTTATTTTCAGGATGGGGGCTTATATTTTTGCCCACCCCAAAAAATGTGGCGAGGCTTTAGTTTCAGGACATGTTGTATTTTCGGGAAAACACAGTAGGCAATGGCTGAGATTGCTGCTCATAGGCCAAAGAGATGCAAGCTTTGATCCAACATCTGATGGTGGAAGAAGGGACCCTATGACCCATCGTGGCCAGCTGAAAGGAGAAGAAGAGGGACTCTGACTTCCGGAAAGATGCTATGCATTTAATGTAGCAGCAGAGAGCCCTCCAGACGTCCAGCAGGTGCCATTTCCATTGCAGTGGATGGGACAGTGTAGGACAAAAATTTTAAAGTATGACTTCTTGGCCACAATGGAAGCAGGAGTTGACTTTCAGGATGAACAAAGGGTCCAACCATAAAACAACTCTGTCTAAATGAAAAATGCAGAGCTCCTGTCTGACTAATAGGGCAGCTAGCTCTGACACTCTCCTTGCTGAGGTAATAGTGACGAAGAAGACTACCTTCAAGGTCAACAGCCAAAGACTGATGGCTCAATGGCTCAAATGGCAAAGAAGTGAGGCCTTGCAGAATGAGGGACAGGTCCCAAGTTGGATAATGATGGACTACAGGGTACTAAGGTTCGAAGCACCCTTAAGGAAACTACAGGTCATGGGATGTTGAATGGAGGTATGTTCCTTCACTGACTCAAGAACCATGGACAACGCTGCAACCTGCCTCCACGGGGGGAAGGCACTAATCCTCCGCCTATGCCAACCTGGAGAAATTCAAGAACCGGTGGGACTGAAACCAACTATGGTTCTTTTTCTGTCTGTGGCATCACCTGTTGAAGGCCACCCATGTAGCATTGTATATTCTGCTGGTAGAAGGATGTCTGGCCATCTGAATAGTCCAAATAACCTTCCAGAGAAATTAGCCCATTTCAGGATGTCCCCTTCAAGTGCCAAATGGCTAATTGCAACCACTGGGACTTTGGATGTAAAAGGGCCCCCTGGCTAAGGATTATCCTGTTGTTGGGAATCTGCCATGGGCAAGAGATGGACAGATTGACAAGGTCGGCATACCATGTTCATCTGGGCCAGTCTGGGGCCACAAGAAGTACCTCTGCCTTTTCCGCTAGGATCTTCTGCACGACCCTCAGAATGAGCCGTAGAGGAGGAAAGACATATAGGAGTTCCCTAGGCCATGGGCAAAGAAGAGCGTTCGTTCCGTGGGTTGGAAATCTGGAAAAAAATCTCAGGAGCTGAGTGTTCATTGAGTGGCCAAACAAGTCCATCGTTGGCCGGCCAAAGCGCCTGGAGAGCTCCTGGAACAAATCCAGGTGCAGTCACCATTCCAAATGGTCCATGGTCGATCTGTTCAGCTAGTCTGCTTGAACATTGGCCACCCTCTGATGGATAGGGTGTGAGTCTCTGCCCACTGACCCAGCCTGTCCTCCTTGATCCTGACTGATCTGGATTGAGTGCCCCCCCTGGCAGTTGATGTGGGCCTTCGTGTCCATATTGTCAGTGAGGATGAGCATGTGGTGGCCTGTTACTAACAGTTGGAACTGTTGAACTGCTAGTCATACTGCTCAGAGCTCTAGCCAATTGATGTTTTAGGCGAGCTCCTGTTGGCTCCACCGCCCTTGGGCCACCCGATAATGGGAGTGAGGTCCCCACTCAAAGAGTCTGGCGTCAGATGTGACTGTGACCCAGCTCCCTGAAGAGACAGCCCTTGTGAATGGCAGGGGATGTCCACCACTGCTGCAAGCGTAGGACCCATGTTGGAACTCATACCTGCAGGTTGGAACTGCCATCATCGGCTCATTGATACAGCAGCAGGAACCATGGAAGGGATGTCAAACATCACCTCTGTAACTGGCCTATCATCAATTTGATGCTGAGATATCGTTCCTGGGACAGGGAGACATCACACATGATTGTATTTATTACAGCTCCCAAATGTAGAAGATTGGTATAAGGGAGCAAATGACTTTTGTTGAAATTGACCATGAACCCGTGTTTTTGAAGAACCTGAATCGTGGTCTGGAGGTCCTGGTGCGCCTTCATTTTGACAAAATTAAAATGACATCAAGGTAGCATTGTAACCTCACTGGAACTGACCTGAGGTGCGCCACTACTGCCGCAAGCAACTTGGTGAAAGTCTTGGGTGCTGATGACAGGCCGAACAGCAGGACTCAGTACTGGTAGTGCAGCCAACAAAACAAAATCTCAGGAACCTCTGGTGAGATGATCTTATTGAAACATGGAAATAAGCTTCATTGATGTCTATAGATGTTAGTAGGTCCCCTTGATGGTTGCATCCCAAGATGGCTTGAAGGGACTGCATCTTGAATCATTTGTACGCCAGATGGATGTTGAGCCTCTTTAAGCTTAGGATTGTTCATCACTACCACCACTGAGCTTTTGGGAACTAAGGCGAGGATTGAGTAAAAACCTAATCCCTCCTGGTCCAATGGAACTGGCTCGATGGCTCTGATATTCAACAGATGTTGGATCTTGGTTTTCATGAGACCCCTATGATAAATTGTCTGGGAACTCTCCAGACCCACAGTCTGAAAAACCCAGGCATCTGACGTGGTCAACTCCCATTGGCTGGTGAAGTGTAGAAGCCGACTGTCAAAGGGAAGTATAAACTGAAGAGTCACTTATATTGACAGAAGGGCCTACTGCCCAATCCTCAAAAGGAATGCTGCTGATGGAACTGCTGCTGTCTACCTCTGTCTTGCAACCCTAATCTATCCTGGAATTGATCCGATCCCTGAGAATAGGGCTGGTGGTATGGCTGGTAATTGAAGGAATGTTCAAGAGGCTGAAAGGACTGCCTATGAAAATAAGGTTGAGATCTGTGATCCGCCCATCGGTGTAAAGTGGGCAGGAATTTGCACTTATCCTTATTCTCGGTCAATATGGGGTCTAGGGCATCCCCAAACAGCTTCCCCCCTTTGAAAGGAGTGGAAGCGAGGCACCACTTAGAGCACAAGTCTGACTGCCAGTGGCATAGCCACAACAGATGATGGGAAGAAACAATGGAAGCCAAGGCTCTGGAAGTGAACTTGGTCACATTGAGCATTGTATCCGAGGAATATTCCACGGCTGCCACCAGTTTGTTAATATCCTGGTGGAGACAAATGTCCTCTGACGAAATCCTGGCCTGCAATTGATGGAGCCATACTAAAGAAGTCCGATTAAAGAAAGACGCAGCCATAGTCGTGTAGATCACCCAGGTGGTAACCTGATGAGTCGTGTGGAAAGTCATCTCTGTTTTGTAATCATCCACCCGAAGCCCCTCTCACACCTCTGAAGGGATGATGGTGGGCGAAGCTAAGGCGGCGACAGGAGCGTTCACTGAGGGAACCTGGAGCAGACCTTCTAATTCTTGCCCTGATCCATAAAGCTTCCTATCTGTGTTGTTGTGGGGGAAGGACCCTGGTTGGGTGCATTGCCTCTGCATTACATTCAAAAAGAGTTTTGGAGAGGCAGTTCTTGCTCAGGAGCTAATTTGGAAAACAGACACTCAGTGGTGTCCAACGCTAGGGTGGCCCCAGTTGGAGCCTCCAATGTTTCCATGTTCACAGTGGCCTTGGCCTTGTACAAGAGGAACTTAAATAAGGCTGTGCGGAATAGGCCTGAGAATGAAGGCCTGTCGGGGGCCAAACCCTCATCTTCTGACAGCTCCTGCTCCCCTATCTCGTCATCTCCCAACAGCAAAACCTTGTTCTGTAAGGAACGTTGCAGAGAAGCTGAATCCCCAGCTAGACCTGATTGGGCCATAAGAGCGGTCCTTGGATGTAACACTTGTCCTCTACATTTGATCTGATAAATGGCAATGGAAATTAGGTCCCTAAGCTCCTTTTGGAGAACCAGACTGTGACCATCCTCTGAATGGAG